GGAATTTTCTATCAAGTTGTTATAATGTCATCTAACTACTATGAAAGAAGTTATTACACCTCAAATCACCATTGCTCAACTACGATCCTTTGACCACATTCACCTGACTATTTTCCTATGGCCATCGACATCAAACTACAATCCTCTGACCATCGATGCCTAACTATGGGCCTCATACTACCATCGATCAATCGCATTCATCTGATCACCATTGTCAAACTACTACACTTATAATCATCATCACTCGATTATAATCATTTTGACCACTATTTCTAATAACCTAAAAGTGTGAAATGAATTTATTTGAAAAAGATAAAAATTTTGAAGTTGAGTGTTATGGTACTAAGATACTAATAGTATATATATATATACACGCTCTGTCTCACCCCTCTACCTCCCTCACTCGTTGCTTAGCTTGGAAGAAATTAAAAGAGGGGAGGAGAAAGGAGAGAGTAAGACCTTTGGTTCATATTTGCCCGTCATTCCTATTACGAATTTTATTTTATTCGTTATAAGTGATTAATCTCTTACTCGTATTTTCAATAGCTTTGATTTCTATGAATTTTATCTATCTTAAATATGCCAAAAATATATTATCTCCTGATCTCGTAAGCTATCACCATTTAATTTTTTAAATGTTATAGATTTGATTATTCTAAATGATTTTATTGCATTTTGACTAATTAAATATGTATATATGAATTTTTTATATAAATGAGTAGGGAAAAAAAGTATACTAAAAATGGAATATGCTAATATGAGTGATATATATATACTGGAATGTACTACCAATATTGGAGAAATGATGTATTAGTTGATATCAGATACATGATATAACAACCCCATATGATACTTTATTGATTCATATTATTCACTAATGGGAGCTATAAGGAGCTGAAAACTGACTGGGAATTATAAGGAGTCGGGATGACTGATTCACATGATTCAATGAGAGTTAAAAGGAGTATACTAATTGGAATTGATAAGAAGCGACTGATTGAGATTCAAAGTACAGAAGTAAGATATCCTCATATGAATATTTGATATAACACTTATTCATTTATATAATTGATTGCACGTGATACTCGCAAACTTAATATACCCTAATCTTAAAGTCGTAGATTAATATTGATGTTGAATTAGTTATTAATGCTGATTATTGATATTGATACTGATTACTAATATTGATAATGATATTGAAATTGATTACAAATTTTTTATATTGATATTGATTAATGATACTGTTATTGTTACTGATACAATTTTATTACTAATACTAAATATTGTTATTAATTTAACTGATTGATTAGAGTTTATGATGGAATAATGAAATATAACTAACTGTGATATGATATGTTATGGTTAGATTATTGATACAGATAATTGATATAGATACATTGATATATATATTTCTTTATATAATTTATAACATATTATTCTCTTTTATCTTGCGTTGATTTTAGTTGTAAGATTTTGATTACTTACTGAGTTATGTGCTCATTATATGATTTTATATGTTTTTAGGAAAAATATAAATATCCTATGATACGAGGCTCCAGACAATATGCATAATTCTTTTCGTTGTTCATAATAAATTTATAAGCTTTAGTTAATTGACTAAAATGAAAGATGTAATTCTTTCAATATAGATCCCGGGGCATAACATCATTGCCTAATTATAGGATTTCGACCACTGTCGCTAGACTATAGTCCTACGACCACCGCTTCCTGACTATGGACCTCTCACTGTCATCTTCTGATTATAATCTTCCAACCACCATTATTAGACTACAACCCTCCAACCATAATCACTTGACAAATATCATTCTAACCACCATCACCAAATATTATTTTGTATCATTTTGTATTCCAATTAAATATCAGAATTGATTAAACTTATGTATTTAAAATAATTTGTACCCTAAAAAAATTGAACCAAACTGCCCCCTTAATAGTAAACACTCTTGACGAATGACAAATATAAAGTGAAAATAGCTCCAAAGACATATCATCTTAGCCTATTGATTGAGAGCTTAGACTTTCAACTAAGAGGTCTTGAACTTGAATCTTTGTTTAATTGACATAAATAACAAAAAAAAACCAAAACTCGCTATTAGATCTGCCCGATTCGCACTTCAGAGATTCTTGGAGATAATTTAATTGCTATAAATAGAAAAAGATAAATAAAAAACACTGCTCCACTCTCACACGGCCTCCGTGCCAGGACTGGAAGGGCTATTTAAAAACAATTAATCGAAACAGAACCGAGCAATTGAGTCCAGGCCTAAATTTCCATCGAAAGAAGATCCCTCGAGCGCTCTCCACCGCCCTTCCCCGGCATCTTCCGACTGCCAACCTGATGGGAAAGGACAAGGAGGGCATGGTTCGCTTTCGAGTCTTTTTCGATAATCATCGTCTTCTGAACAACTCCCAGCTTTCCGATGGACTCGGCCGCTGCTGGCTTCTCCTCAAACCCAGCATCGTTACCTTTGCCGACCTCGTTTCCCACCTACGTGAGAAGTTTGCCCTACGGAATCGCCAAATTCGCCTCGTTCTCTTGGTACGCAGCCGTTCTCCTACAGTAGCTTCGTTTATTGTACCCCCACTGCTAATGTTGTATAAAAATTTGAAGATTAATGTTCGTCTGCGATTTCAGGCTGCAGATTGAAGTGCATTTCTATTGTGGTGCAAGAATCGTTTTTGTTATAGAAATTTTCATCTCAATATTGTTTTTTTTTTTAATTTAAATCTTCGGGAGTCTGAACTTTTCTTTTTTGACACCATTTATGATTTTCATATGTCAATATGTTTTTTGTAGTCCGCATTCCTAGTTGATTAAAGCGTGACTTTAAAATTAAGCAAAAATGGCGATTTTCACTCGTTTCCTCTTTAGACCTGGGGTTTATCTTTGGCATTGCTGCATGTGTGCTCACGTGAATTTAACACAGCTTTCAACCATTGCATGCTTTTTTGCTAAAACCATTCTGTGGTATGATGGGTACTTGATAAGTGGCACTGGCTTTTATAGCTTTTTGATTACTTATAATATTTTTGAAGTAGTTAGTGGTAAATACTGCACTGCAGATGTATACTTGATAAGTGACACATGATGTTTTCCTGTTGACACTTCACGTTATTATTTGGCTGGTTGGTGTTAACTTTGTGATTCAAGCTTGCAATCTGTATTTCGACTTCGGTTTGACCGTTCATCTTTGTATTCTCATTTATTTTATGAAGTTTAATCATTATTAGAATACCTTTATTTCATGGATCATGCTTCAAATGGTAATTGAACTATTCAACCTTACTCATGTTTCTGCAGATTGATGATTTTGTCTTACCACCATTTGAATCAACAGGCATCCTCAAGGATAAGGATTTAATCAGGTTAGCTTTTTGGTGACAAATTTTCCTTTCATGATCTGTGAGCAATGTTATAGTTGTAATATATTGTGTTCGATCAGATTCATTTCATCTTAAGCATTCTATAACTATTTATATGTGCTTCAACTTTTACCCATTTATAATAACTATCAATTTACTATTTATTGTGTTGAAAGAATACAAGCTCATTAGGATCAATGAAACTTATTAATTGATTTTGATGCATACATGCATGGAGTAAGTAACACTTATTTTATGAACATTCAATCTTACTATTGAATGCCCACAAATCGGGATAAATTGCTTTTGAATTATCACAAAAAGAGGAGAATAATGATTCAAATATCATGGTTACATAGTAAAGTGTTTTGTTCAGTCGTTATTCACATATACCAACCAAGGTTATATCAAAAAGGACATTGCAAACTCTAAATGCTAGACCTCTAGCCCATGTGATTATTATTCTATATGTTGGTAAGAATTTGAAGCGTATTGAAGTGAGAGAAGATTCATTAATGAAGAGAGGAAGAATGATTTGAATAATGTATATTTTCATTGATAAAAGATTCACCAATGAATAGTGGAGGAATAATTTGAATTATCCATATTTTCCTTGAGAACCCTGCACTACTTTTTATACATCTAAAATTTAGAGCATGCTAAGTAATTTCTACCTATGAAGATGACAATATTCATAGAATATAAATGCAAGTATCAATCATGTTTCTATATTTGCATGTGCGAAAATAAAGGAAGACATTCTAGAGCTTGTAAGCATTTGATTCACTTAAAACCCGAGAGGTAATTGTGCCCCAAGACCTGTGAATCGCACATTGGACTACCAACTTGAAATCCCGCTAATTTTCAAGATGATCGTAGGGAAGGGATTACCAACACTGCTCTTGAAGCTATAGAGTAGATATTTTTTATATCTAACTTAGAAGTGATATTCTGAAATGTGGAGCTTTGCGTTCCTTCAGTTAGGAAGTCGGCCAATTGCTTGTGTGTTTGGACATGAGATATATATAAATTTGATTTTTAGTTTTTCTTTGATGATGTGTTAATCACTTTCTTTGTATTTAGTACGATTACATTATACTTGGTTGTGTGCAATGCTAATGGCTAATTTATTATCATCGCATAACTTCATATCTTTCCATTTTATTACCAATTCATTTAGGATGATTTTGATGCACAATCTTTAATATATTCCTTGGGTCATTGCTCGAAATTTTGCTTCCAGATCCGATTTTGTGATTATTGACCGCTTCTTGCTTTTCCAAGTTATTATACTTTCACCTTGGAAGATGCAATAATCAATTTAAGATTTAGTATATGTGAGGGTCTTACCCAATCAACATCTATGTATGCTTTTACGTTGAGTATTTTAGTTTTCTTAAATAAGATTCTTTTTCGTTGAGTTCATTTAAGCTATAAAAGAGTTTTTATAATCTATTATATATGTGTTTCCTTAGCATTATGCATGAATTGATTTAGAGGACTTACAAGATATGCAACATATAATATTGTGTAGGCAAGATAAATAAGTTTTTTGATCAATCTTTTGCTATCCCTCTCTGTGAACTTTTGGGCTCTCTCTTGCCTTGTCCAAGTTTTTTTGGCAGTAATCAATTGGAAATTCTGAGGGTTTGTATCCCATCATACTTGTTTCATTTAGCATATCCAAGATGTTATTTTCTTATGAAATGAATATCTGACTGCTTGTGTAATTAATTGGAACCTTTTGAGTATTCCTGCAATAATGTTTTATGTTCATTAGTCAAATTTTTGTTGGGATTGTTATCCAAGAGGCTACTTCTATTTTGTAGGATAGTCTCGTGGGTATTTGGGATCCTATTAGTGGGTTGGGTGGTTGGCAGATCAAGTTCGAGGGAATTAAAGTTGTCCTCATCCTGAGGCGTCCCTTTTTTTTGTTGTTTTGTTCGGTACCGAGGTCAACACATGTTGGTTGTAATTAGTCAAGAATGTTGATTTTAAACTTCACAGACCTTATCGAAGCTCCTTAAAAGATGATTTCACGTCCAATTTCAAAATGAGTGAAAAGTAAATCATCATTTTGTTGATGTATTTTCTATTTACAATGAACCAAATGAGCTCGTAAGGAAGATGGTTTTTTAATGGAAAGTGAGGTAAGAACTAAGAAGTGGATGTTTTTTTAATAGAAATTAAAAAAAAAAGTATTAAGAGGGTGAAGAAGAAACAATTTTAATTGAAAACATGAACACAATGATTTTTTGAATAAGTAGTGAAATCCATTCTTCTATTAAAATCGTTATTCTTCCAACTCGTTTTTATTAAGTTAACGATTTAAAGTTTTTTCTTTTGTTAATCTAGCAAATCTATTATCACGCATAATGCGGTCATTTAAGTTGAGATGAATATTCTTTGCAGCTAAGTATGGATGCTTTTTTCCTGCTTCAAGATTTAGGTTTGGGGGGCTTTTCTGTAATGTATGTACCTTTTTTTTCCTAAAGCTCTTAATGAATTTGGTTGTGATTTAGCAACTTTGGTTTCTATTAAGTTCATGTAAGTTAATGAAGGCACATGTTTATTATTCAAAATTGTTACTAATTTAGATTTTATTAGTTTATCTTGTTATTTGTTTGGATGTATTAGATATGTAGAAAAAACCAAATATAGGAGATTTGAAATTTCAAGTGTTTTGTTGGAGGAAAAAAAACAGCTTTATTTGTTGAGGATTTTGGAACCCCTTAGTTGATTTTCGATGTATTTTGAATTATGCACAAATTTAACTGATTTAGAATATGCATCATCGCACGACCGATCATGCGTGGTCGCAATTCTGCCAAAGCCCTTTCTTACCTTTGTGCAACCCCTTGCATGACCTTATGCTCTAGCTTGCTTGTCACATGATAATATTTCGTGACTTCAGCCCATTGTGCTCACTATGTGAGGCCAGCTCCACATCCTTCAATTCTCCCCCAACCGTTGGCTCCATTCTACAACTCTCCCAGCATGTGGCCATCCCTACAACTTCGGCTTTGTCTTTGGGCTCTCTTGTTATTGTGATTGCTTGCTGTAGATTTTTAATTTTTTTTTCTTAAATGAGATTCATTTTGCTCAAATCAAACACAAAAAAGTGATATCGAGAAATTATTTTACAACCAACCAAATAACTTGGAATATTGAAATAGACAAGTATTATAAGCACTTGCAGCCATACAAAATCTTAGTAAGCTTGTGAGTTTAATCTTCTATGTTGATTAAAAATTTGTCCATTTTCATTTAGTCTTTTATGCATAAGATGCATTAAGATTATTGCCTAAGTTATGTTATAGGAATGCTCCTACAATTTCTTGCCAATGGCATTTTTTCTGATAACCTGGTGCTTAATTCTGCTAGGGTTAAACTGAAGAATGTTAAACTGAAGGATGCTTTGCTGCCTTGCCATAGTCAAAATATTGTACAGGATCCACAAATTGCAAGGTCACATGGGTTTTCCTCCGACAATAATACTATGGAAGATGAGAAATCTCAAGCAAATTCGCAGGGAAATGTGAACAATGAGAATGCTGTTCATGACGGCAATTTGTCTCTTGGCATTGGCGTGCTGAAGCAGAAGAGAAGGCATTCACTTGAATTTCATAATTCAATGTATGCGTTTTCATGTTCTTTTTGTACTTAATTATACTGCCATTTAAGAATTGATTTTCTGCTCTCCTGTGTTGTCTCACTATTTTTTATTGACATTTTATTTGTTTCATACATATAATTAATGTTGATGATTAACAATTCATGCAAACTTTATTCATGCTTCTCTTGTCATGCCTGTCATCTACCACTGTGTTCTACATTTTGAGCTAATATAATGATAATTTGAAGGCTGAGTGTTAATTTTTCAAGTGTTTGATATAAAGTAAAATGGATGAAGAGTATATTTTTAGGGAATTTGGAACGCCTCAAAAGCCTTGAATTTTGTGATTTTCAATTTGTTCCAAATTGAGGAAATTAAAAATGCATCCTTATCCTCAACATTGTTCACTAACGACCCTACTTCTGTTTGTTACACCCCCATTAGCAAGCCCGCTCTTACTTTCATGTGCTTTTCTCATCCTTGTCCTTGACCACACTCCCATTTACATGCACCGTATGCGAAACCATCCCTGACAATGCTGCCAATTTTACGGGTTGTCCTCATCCTGTCCTTGACCACACCATCACTTTTGTGCCACATCCTTGTACCCGTCTCCCTAATCCTCAACTCCACCTACTTCTTCTGCACCAGCTGATGTTACAACATCATCAACATTGATCCAGACAAATATGTACCATATTGCCCCTAGTTTTAATGTCTCCTCGCCTCTCCTCCTGGTGCTCTAGTTTTCCAGTTTAAATTAATTGATATTGGATATCTCACTTTGCTTCCTTCAGATTGATTGAAATCAATCAAATTTGAATTGTTAGGCACATCCTCCAGGGTTATTAGCTATGGTGGTTTGCACTCATAGAAAATTTCATCCCTATATCTAAATTAATTATGATTTAACATCAGGAGAAAGCTGATTAATTAAACCTAATCTACCTGAATAAGAACTACTTTCGAGTTTTTCATTACATTGAGAAAGCTCATAGGAGGGGTGGCTTTTGCTGAGTGGTTGCTATTGTACAAATCAAGAGTTGGAAGATTTGAGCACATGGAGGGAGGTCATTACTATACATTCCTATGAACATGGTGTTGTGGTCCCTACCGCATTTGTTTACAGTTGATTGGACGTGACTTTGCTTCCTTAAGCTTTAGCTGTGGTGGTCTAGATTGTATATAATCGGTAAGGTTTACCTTTCAAGTGATTGAAAGCTTATTATTTTATTTTATATTGCAACTATGATTTGGGTGCATGGTTACTAACTCTATTATGACATGTTTTTTGTATTTGAAGTTAGGTCATACTAGGGGTGCAAGTGAGCCGAGCTAGCTCAAGCTCGGCTCATTAACGAACTCATGAGTTGAGCTTATTGAGCCTCGAGTTTGAGCTTGAGCCTATACTCGATATCGTATATTAAACGAGCTCGAGCTCAGCTCAAAAGTTTGTTGAGTTAGAGCTTGACTTGGTTGTTGAACTTGATTTCTTAGTTTTAAATTAAAATCTTTTATTTTTTTTATAATAATTCTTATTTTTAATATATAATTAATTAAAAATATTTAAGCATATTATATAATGTTAATTCAAATTAATTTTTAAATATATTTTAAGTTAATCGAGCCGATAAATTTTTTAACGAGTCAAGTTCGATTTTAGTAAACGAGCTCGAGCTCAATAAGAACTAAATAAATTTAGCTCAATTAGGCAGATTCTCGACTCGACTTGACTGGTTTACACCCCTAGGTCATACTTTGAGCTCTCATATAAAGATAAATGGTCACTAATTTATCTTCTTGATTTATAATATAGTATAATTTTGCTGCAATTACTATGACGTTGTTAACATGCTATTGCTATTTCAGGAGAAAGAGACAGAAACCAAACTGTGCTGAAAAGCAATTTACTAAGGCAGGTGTTCAAGATGTACATTCCAGGCAAAATACAACATTGTGTCATGTAAGTAGCGACTCCAAAATGAAATTGCCTGCCCAAGATTATACACATGATGATGGATTGGTGGTTTCTCTACCTGTCTCTGAAATAACCCTTGGTGAACCATCTAGCTCTATGTCTTCTAAAGAGAGGTATCCGAGCTTACTAATTAACTTACACAAAGATCATTTTTACTTGATTAATGTTCATTGCTATTCTTTCTTCTTTAAATTAGCAATTTTGGGATTCATAAATAATTCCAGCGAACTGCATTTGATGGATGGTTATGGTAGCTGACCTGATTGATTGTAATCTGTTAGATTTGAATGTGTGATTTCTTATCATGATTGCTGGCCAAAAGCTTATATAATATGTCGGATTAATTCATTTCTGTAGTTCGTCTACTTTACTATGAACCATTTGAGATTCAACACTTATTAATTACTTTAATCTCTGTCCATAAGATCACCTAGCCTTGGGTCTTGCAGTTATCAATAGAAAATATGTTTTTAAGCATTACAAGTTAAAATTTGATTCATTATTTGTGAGTTCTTATCATGATTGCTGGCCAGAAGCTCATATAATATTTTAGATTTATATTATTGTGAACCATGCGAGAATTAATGCCTTCTAATACCTTCAATCTCTGTCCATAAGATTATCTAGCCTTGGGCATAACGTGCAATTATAAGGAGAAAATGTGTTTTTATGCAGTATAAGTTAAAGGCTGACTCATGAGATCTGAATTAGTTGATATCGTACTTGGGATAATAAAATTCTTTAGTCAATCTAGCACAAGTTTCAGTGCAAATCACAAGCATAAACATCTTTTCTGTAAGGAGAAAGAGATCCTTAATTCCTTCATTTCAGTAGATTTGACAAATCTGCAAAACTATGAAAGAGCCCTTTGTTACCCATAAGAAATTGTGACGGCCTATTGAAGAGCAACTCAAAATTTGGGGTAACATTTTCTGCAATCTGAAAGGGCATTCATATCAACATTTTGGTTATTTTTTGTAGTATGGCAATATGCCTTACTATTGTTAACATATGCATCAAGTGGTCATTTCCACCAATGCTCAACCTTCAACACAATTGTTTCTGGTAGGTTATTATTGAAGAATAAATCTTAGCGATATTCTCGATTGGGCATTCACTATTTGTGAGCTGAAAGTATTCTTGGATGATTTTCTATTTAAACTATGGAAAAATTTCTCCTCTATTGATGATGTGCTCCTTACACTTCTTATTGATTGCACTCAGTTTTTTCATCACTCATTATGCCTAAGTAGTGGCTTGTATTGAAGTCCTGAATCGTTTAAAGTTTGATATGTTTTGCACAACTTTTCATTACTAGTGAAATTTTACAACTGGACTAGACTTGGTATTTTTATGAAAAAATTATTCTATTTTACCGCGTTTTCGGATTTATATCAAGATGCATGCAAAATTTTTGCACTCAAGCAGTTTGTGGAAATCTTGTTTGGCGTTCAAAAATGCTAAAATGCTGTGCATTTTTTTTAACGGAAATATTCTGGTAAACTTTTACATGTTATCAGATGTTATTTTGAATGCTAATGCCCATTAACTTTGAGAATTCTTTTATACTTAGGTAATTGTATTATTCTGATTATTAGCTGCAAGGAGCCAAGGACTTTTTCAAATGCTAAGGAACCGTGCCAAAGAACTTGTTTCTATTTTGTGTATGGTGTTCAGCTCTAAGCAAATAGTCTGACAGTATACCCCCATTTTCGTAATAACAGCTTTGTCTTGCAATTGTTATAACATGCCTTTGCATTTAACACAGCCTGAGCTTTGTTATTTAACTGATTAATGTTACCTTTTCTAGCGCACATAAAATGATAACTTTCATGTACTCCTTACTTTTTTTGCTTTTATCTGTAGGCAACAATCTGAGGGAATCAACAATGTTCTTGAATCTGAGCCTCATATTACTTGTGATGCGACTAAGGTTTGTTACTTATTCTTCTATTAAATAATTTCAATTTATTTAAATGCTTATGAAATTTTCTTGTAAATAATTCTTTACTGTCAGCTTTTTTGTTGAATTTCAACTTGGAATTGGCCTAAGGTTCCGGAGCAATAAATCATGTCACTAACTCATATTATTAAACCAACATGGTCTTGATCCAATTTCATTTGTGACTAATGACTCAATCTGAAAGCAGTTTTTCCGAGTTTGTTCTTGTATAGCTTTGCACCAATTAACATCAATTGCAACTACATGTCAAGCAAGATGATTTAGAAAGTGAATGCAATGAAATGATTTTATCCAAGTTCCTGATATTTAATATGTTTTTACCTGAGCAGAGGCACCATAAGTTGCTTGAGTCATTTACTTAAAATAAATAGCTTTAAGTGGTGTAAGTTGCTCAATTGGTGTTTTGTTTTGTCTATCTGCCCATATTTTAGGTGTCACCCTTCAATAAGTATGAGCTATATTACCACAATGATAGGCTTAATAGGCACACATCCCTTACCTTAGTTTTGACATGGCCTTAGAAATGGCAAGCTTGATTAGGTAGGTTTGGGCCAGGGATTTGATTCTTTCTCGGTTTTTTTAACATTTTGGACTGTGAACCCTGCCATCATTCCTCATCAAGCATTGTTGAAGCTGAATTTGTCTAAAAGATACTAAGGCATAATCAGAAAAAAAAAACCATTCTTGAAGATTTTGTTTCTGAACTAATAAAGATTTAAAAGAGTATATTCATTGAAATTACAAACAGGCCCTGTCGAGACGAGCACTTCAACCTTCTGATTTTTTAGGCTCTAGTTGTTTTCATTTCACAGATTTAATCTAGTGTAAAAGTGTGATTCTATTGAGAATGGATTGTGTTCTCTAAAAGTTGAGTTCGTTTGGTTAGATTTCCCATGTTAGTTTGAGTTGGTTTGACCTGTGGTTTCTTGATTCAATCATTTTTTTTAGTTGTTGTGTGACTTTCCTTCAATGGTAGATTTTCTTACAAATTTTAGCATTTGAAGACCCTTAAATTATTGTTTAGAGCAACTTACACATAATTTTCTATTTTACATCATAGGATAAATTTTACCTAAACTAAGAGTTAGTGGATTAAGAAGAATTAAGTTAATGTGTCATACTTTAAAGCTTTAGGAGAGAGTTATGGAGCATAGGTTATGACTTGATACTAATGTTTCTCAAGATCAATTTGGATTCATTCATGGTGGGTCTACTATGGAAGCTATACATTTATTGAGAGGTTTGATGGACAAGCATAGAGAGAATAAGGAGGATCTTCATATGATATTTATTGATTTAGAGAAAGCATATGATAAAGTTCCAAGAGAAGTGCTATGGAAAGTTTTAGAAAAGAAAGGAGTTAATAATACTTACATTCAAGTCATTAGGGCTATGTATGCAAGTGTTGTTACTTTTATTCAAACACAAAGTGGTTTGACTAGGTATTTTTCTATTTCTCTTGGATTACATGAATGATCAGCCTTAAGTCCATATCTTCTTTGCTTTAGTCATGGATGTTCTCACTAGAAATTTGCAAGATGTTGTACCCTTATGCTTTTTGCTGATGGTATTCTTCTTATTAATAAGATTAGAGAGGGAGTTTATAAACTTGAATGATTGAAGTTAACCTTAAGAGTCTAAAGATTTTCGTTCGAGTTGATCTAAAACTAAATATATGGAGTGTACTTTTAGTAATAATAAATCTAGTGGAGGGTTTGTGACTTTGGGCGATCAAGTCATTAATAAGAGTACACGTTTTAGATATCATGGGTCTATTGTTTAGAGTGATGGTGAAATAGATGGAAATATTATTAGCAGAATTCAAATTAGATGATTGAAGTGAAGGAATGCATCAGACTTGTGTGATAGAAAAGCCCCCTCAAACTTGAGGGAAAATTCTATCAGATGGTGGTGAGACTTGCAATGCTTTATTTTGCAGAATGTTGGCCATTAAATGAGTAGCATAATATTAAGTTAAGTTTTGCAAAGATGAGGATGCTCAAGTGGATGAGTGGCTTTACTCTTAGAGACAAGATACAAAATGAGCATATCCATGAAAAGGTTGGAGTAGCTCCAGTGGAAGATAAGATTATAGAGAGTCTCCTTAGATGGTTTGGTCACATAAAACGGCGTACTTCCGATGTCCTGGTTAGGACAATGTTAGACCGGTCCACTGGACCGGTCCAGCCGGTCCAGGCGGGACCAGTTCACGGACGAAATCGCAAAAACGGTGGAGATTCCGCCTCCTGGCGGAGAACGAGCGGCCCGACCGCTCAAACAGAGCGTTTTAGGAAGGATTTTTGGGGGGTTTCAGAGAGAAATTTGAATGTAGGGGCTGTTTAGGGAATTCCTTTTGATTTGTATGCATTAAATAGATGTTTTTCCTAGGGTTTGGGCATCTTGAATTTGGCTGAAATTTGAGATCACCGAGATTTAGATTTTCTTTGGGCTCTAGCGGCGTCTAGAGATTTGGGAGAGATCGATCCTCCTCTCGAATTGAGGATCAATTGTATCTTTGCTGTTTTCTTCTTCTTCTAGTGAAATACAAGCTTTCCTTTGAGTTTTCTATCAGATTTTCCCTGGATTAGTGTTGTTTTTCTGCTGTCAACAGCAGAAATCTGCTGTTTTCTGTTCTGGACAGCAACATTTTCACTGTTTGTTCACCGATTTGGGTTAGGATTGCTTGCGAACTCAAGTATTACCTTAGGGTTACTTGCGAACTCAAGTATTTCCTATCAGAAAATAGATGTATTAAATTTGACTTATGTTAAGAAAGGTAGAGGTAGACCTAAAAATACTTGGTTAGAAAATATTAGAAATGACTTTTCTTTTTTAGATTTAAATGAAAAGTTGACTCTTAACTGAAAATAATGGAGAAAAAAAGATTCATGTAGCTAACCCCGCGTAATGGGATAAAGGCTTGATGTTGTTGTTGTTGTTGTTGTTGTAAGAGTTAGTGGGTTGCAACATTTGATCATTTGTTTGTGCTTCTTTGCATGTCAATTTAGATTTACATTAGTAAACCCTATACCTCAAGGCCTCATGTATCAGATTTGATATCTAAGCTTATGGTTACATCATCATTTTAGCTAGAAATAGAAAATATTAATTGGGTCAATAAAAAATTAATAAATGATGCAGTGTAAAATGAAATGGTAAGTTTCGGTTCTCGATAATGATAAGAAATTTGTTGTGAGTTTTAAATTTATATTCTTGCTTTCAATGGTGTAGATACACCTTGGAGAATTTTCGCAGTGGATTGATAATTTAAAAAACTTTGTTTGAACATTGCTATCTACTTGATTCTTAAAAACTCGAAATTGTTGAAAAAAATTAGTGAGATATGCGTAATTATGTTAGCAAAATGTTGTGAGTGAAAAAAAATAAATATAGGCTAGCATGAAATCTAAACTTAAAGAACAATATTTTCCTTTCAATTAATATATAGACAAAATGCATAATCGATCTACTACTTGTAAACAATGTGATTTCATTGTGTTTGAATATTATGCAAGTTTTGTACAACTTATATTTACACAAGCTTTGCCTCTAGACTATCATTTTGCAATTCCTAGCTCATGAAAGGTTTTATGTGAGTGATGAAGAATGAACTAAGTTACAATTCACGGAAAATATTATTTGAGTATTTATTTATATCTTTGAATGTTAAGGCATATTGCAATAGCTTTTTTAGGACTATCACACTTGTAATTTAAGTTTATAAAGGGTGATTATCACCATCTTCTCTAGATCCAGTCAAACATACATGTGGGCTCCAAAATTAACTGGCCGGCCTCTCGCTAGAAGAGTTTAGATTGTCTTTCTTGTCGTTTGATCGGCGGAAGCTACTCCCATTCCTTATCTCACGCTCACCTCTTTGTCTCAGGTTAGGATAAGTGTAGTGAAGAAAAAAAAAATGCCAAAAAGACTTACACATGCTCCATTAGTTCCTCGTCAATCTAAAAGGTTTTTTGTTAATATTTTACTCCAATTTGAATGATAGGACCATTTTGGTCGTTGCTAACAGTGTTTGGAGACTAAATTAGAACTTTTACGTGGTCTGGGATTATTGTAGTCGAGGGATCATTTTGATCATTTTCTTAGAACATAAATAACTTTTTTTTAAGACGCGAAATATATTTTATTTCATGTCAAACTAAAATAAAATAAATTGAAAGTAAAAAAAAAAAGAAGTAATCTAAAATGGGCCCTTGTGATTGTTGTGTTGTAGTTCAGATTTTACAAGTTTGATGAGACTGGATTCCTTTTTGCGGTGCGATTCTTAATTATTTAAGAAATTTATATTCATTTTTTGATTTCTTGTAAAATTGTAGAATTTGGAGACTTTTGATTTATTGTTTGGAATCAGTAAATTGTGTTTTCTAATTTTTCATCAAAAGAAATTAATTTTTGTTCAAATTAAATTTGGTATGTGAATTGTGATTCTGGGTGTTATTAAGTATCGAAGCTCTGAACCCTCAAAACTTTTAGATTTCTTTGATATAATTTACGGATTGCAATTATAGATAACTACAAAAGGATTAAAGCTGACTTGTTCACGTGGAGTGCAAGAAGTTTTATTTTATAATGTGCCTATGGATTCAATACCATGAGAAATGTGCTCACCATGTGAACCCTTTTTTAACAATTTTTTCCTCGTGCTTCAGAAATTTGCGCAATCAAGTTCTGCAACCAGTAATAATGACCAAAATCAAGGAAGAAATTCTTGTAGATCAGTTCATGAAAAGAAGTCGGAAAATCATGCATGGATAGACAGAAAGCCTGGAGGAGATTCTCCTGACCTTAAAGCTAAGACGACCGTTGAACACAAAATAGATTTTGCTACACTCTTCCCACTGACACGATCTCCTCTGGTACGTTTCCTGTCCATATTTTTTTTTTCAGTCAGAAGAGAAGTTTATTCAACTGGTTCTGAAGATTTGCGTGGACTCGCAATATGCATTTTTTTTATGATATAAGCTCATTCATTTTAAACTATGGAGTCTGATTAGATTTGTTGCAGAAAGGGGATATACTGGCATACCGATATGTCGAACCATCATCAACGGTCTACCCTGTGCTTTCATCACCCCAAGTAAGAGAAAAAAGATATTAATATGCATGAACAATGAACATTCTTTACCCTTTATTGAATTAATTTTCAATTGCTTTCCAGTTGAAGTTTGTCCAGACAGAATTAAGCAATCTCTGAAAATTACTGCAACAATTTTTATTTCTATGATTATAGGTTGGTAAAGTTTCAGCATTTGATTATAAATCTTCAGAAATTGTATTGATCCCGGCTCCTGAATTTGAGATCTTCTCAGAAGAGAATCCAATGTCACCCACTTCACTGCGGGCGGCGTCCCCTTACAAAGAAGATGGCTCGTTACAGGTGAATGAACAAACTTATGAAACATGTTTTATTGGCTTTTCTGAATCTAATCTGATAGTTGCCATTGCTGTGCAGATCAAGCTCTCAGCACTTATTGATGTTCGTTTGCTGAAAGCCCATAACTCAAAAGAGTTGGCATGTTTGCCGGAAGGAACATTCAATCGAACTAAGAAAGACAAATCGGACGTGGCTGTAGCAAAAAGCACTTGGAATCATTCTTCTGTTCACCGCACAGGTATCAAGTATAACCTATTAATTTAAGACTTCGTTTGGGACAGCTTTTTTATTGTTTTATTTTTCAAACCGCAATCAAAATATTTATTTGATCTTGCGTTAAAAAAAAATTTATATTAGGAAGTTGTCTTCTATCATAGATTTATAAAGTTAGTTTCTTTATAGCAGCTATACAAAACAGTAAGAAAACCGTCTCAAATGAAGCATAAGTGTGATGCTCTTAACACTTTTGTAGAAAAACTTGGTATAAATATACTTTTGTAATTATTTTCAACTCTTTACAGGAAGCTCAAATGGCACTAAACCTACTTCAAATGACAGAAGGGCTTCCGCGTCATGGCTTTACGGCGCATCGCCTGCAGCAGCTCTTTTTTGGGAGACCGTTGGATCAAAAGGTAGTTTTGGTAAGGGTGGTAAATGTTCCAGTTCAGGAAAATACTAAGTAGCAGGTGTTGTGGCATGGCTATGAAGGTTACCCTGATTTAGTTCATTTTGCTTATATTCATTCTGATAGCTAGCGTCCTGGTTAATTGTATGGTGTTTTTTCTTTTGTACTAATGGTCCTCAACTCTGATAGAATGCTCATGTTTATGTAATGGTATAAGTTAAACTATTTTGGTAATCCCTCTACTTTTATATGGATCTTTTGCTTCTATTTTTTTTGGTTTTGTTTTGTTTGTTTGTTTTTTTTTTTTTTGTATCTTTTGCTACTATATTTTGATTAATATACACAAAAAGTAGAGCTAAAATTGGATACTTCAAAAATTGACAAAAAAAAAGGTATTTCTTGTGATGAAAAAATGGTATCACTAAAAAATTTAATTCAATTTTGATTCATTTTTATCAATGCCGGTAATTCTATTAAGGTTCAAAGGCGGATGACTCCAATGACTGATGGACTTCTAAGAGAAACAATTATATGAATAACTCTCACATAAAAAGTGAGATTGTTCAAATTTAATCTTCTAAAAGGGTTAAAATTGTATTGTGATTATATTAAGAAAATAAATTTAATAGCTAATTAAAAGCATCGGTGATTGGTCCCCAATTATAATTTGAATATTTAAGCTACGAATAAATTTAATTGTTAATATATTAAATCTAACTTTCCTTCTACAGTTATACTCAGCAGTCAGCACCCCCTCGACAAAAGAAAAACATTGCTTTCTCCATATGCCGTCCATTGGTATAAAATAATGAATGCTATTTCTATTTGTTCTGTTCCAGTGTTTCTTGCAAGAAAGAAATGCTTAGTAGGTCTAACTCCCCATTAAAAAATTTACAAAGATTTAATCAAGAAATGATGCTTATGATCTTTTTTTAAAATATCTTAATAAAAATAAAATTTAAATTATTTTAATTAAAATTAATTTGACTTTTAACATAACAAATGAGAAGTACGCAAATACAAATTTCTTAATAATAGGGGAATATAATATTTACATTATATGTACTACATTTATAAGAATTTAAATTCATGCAATTTCACATTTAAAAATAAATATTTTTTTCAATAATAATATTTAAATTTATAAGTAAAAAAAAAACTAGTTATACCCTTTTCCATTTGCAACTACTTAAAATATGATCAAATTTTTAAAATTTGTAAGTTTCAGCCTTTTTTTTCGCCAAAATATTTAAAATTGCTTATAATTTCTCATTTTTGGCCTTTTATTTGTTCAATGTAAATCCTTTTAACTCTGCCAAGCTATGATTAAGATTGTTAGGATTACTTTGAAGATCATAAACTATTACATGAAGAGCTACATATATATAAATGAACTCATTTCAATGCAACTTATAAATTCCTTAAAATTTTGTTTAGTGCAAGAAGCATTAAAAACTGACCTGATTCGAGTTGGACCCTTATTTTTTCTGCAACTTTCCCCAATATATCGATTCAGCTGGGCTAGCAGGAACAGAAGCCGCCCCCACTCAATCTCAGGGAGTCTCTGTACCTCAAGCCAAAAAGTTAGTTTTTCAACTTTATTAAAGCCTACAAGCAGGCAATATAGAGTTCAAAATACTGCAGAGCCAACAATTACAAGGACCTAAGAGAAAGGTTCATTTGCACGACAGTAAAATGGCTTCCTATTTAAGATGCTTGACAAACCAACCAATCATATCTTTGTGAGCTTCTTCAGCTTTACTCACAGCTTCTTCATCCTTAACATCATAACGCACAGTCCATCCATGCGCAACCCCAGGAAATATCTTCACAAAGCTATCCACCTTTCCATGAAAGCATGCAGCAGTTATTACTCTTGACATGATACATTACTATGCATGTAAAGTGAAAAAGAAAAAGAATTAAAAATAATTTAGGCTTCGTTTCGGACGGGCCTTAGTACTGTTTTTTAAAACGTCTCTAGTACAAAAATTTTAAATTCAAAAATTTTTTATAATGAAAAACTGTTTTAGAAAGCAAGAACAAAGCTATCCCAAACGAAGCCTTGGGACCACTTTAGTACTGTTTTTTTAAAACGGCTTTCTAGTAAAATTTTAAATTCAAGAATTTTTTACAATAAAAAGCTGTTTTAGAAAGCGAGTAGAAAGCCATCCCAAACGAAGCCTTAGTCGCAACAGTGCAATCAATTGTATGTTTTGAATATAGCAAAACGATAAAGCTTACATGAAGTCAAACCATTTAGTTTTAGGCTTCGTTTGGGATAGCTTCTTACTCTGCTTCTTAAAGCAGCTTTTAAGTACAATTTTTTTCTTTCTAAATAATTACTTTAAGAAGCAGTAATAAAGTCGTCCCAAACAAAATCTTAATGTTTTCATGATTATCATAATATTACTTTCAACGTACAAACTGATCAGTAAATCAATGGTTTCTTTGCATAAAGTTGGAATGGTTTATCCGTTTATGCACCTTTTATTTGAATTAACATGCAAATCTGAATCCTTTTCCTTTTTGTCACCTTCAGTTTTTCTTTGGAATTGTGGTTGAGTTTAGCTAAACGTCCAACTAAAATCATAATTTCCAAGTTTCTTCTCAACATAGAATCCCCCCCAAGTCATTGACACTTTTTAAGTTCAATTATGCAAATTATGTGCGAAAATTAGTAACATATGTAGACATAGTCCAAATACTACTTTGCATATTCATGCAATTAGTTTGAAGAGGGAAGGAAAGAACAACTTCCAAATTAAGGGCCTGTATACATAATACTAAACGAACTGACCATGAATCCAAGTTGGATGCATTACCTCAGAATTGGTGGACAGTACCTCTTCGAACTGTTTCACTAGTTCTGGTGGAGAAGTTTTGTCTATCTCAGCCCCAAGGATAGCAAGATGAGCTTTAATTGCTGAACATAAGCAAAAATGATGATTTAAAATGCCTCGTCATTATGAATTTAATCAGGGAAAAACAATTAAAAGCTCAAATTTTCATCATCTTAGCCTCCATAAAAGAAGGGGGAAAAAAAAACAGCTAGAAAGTAGAAGATTTTTTTTTGTAGAAGCCTTGCTAAAAAACACAGAATTTTGCCCTTTCATCTTTTGATGTTGATCGTTACAGGCTAATTGATATTTTCTTTCCCATTCTTCTTAATTTTTTTAATCATATTTTAGATGGTTAAGACTTTCATCACCTTTTAACTGGGATTTGATAAGGACCTCCTTTTTAAGACCTATGAATCGATTAACACATCATATTCACGTTTTATCAAAACGATTCAATTAATTACCAATTCACCTGTTCACTAAGGTACACGACATCTCCAACTCAATAAAGGAGTGGACTGCCAAAAACACTCGAAAAAGATTTAATTTTCAGTCAAAACAAGCCAGAGTAAAATACGTTAAAAGAAGTTCAATAAAAAATTGTTCTATTCAGTCCCTTCATTTCCACCAATCCATTGCTAAGAAAATCTCTTTCTACCTTGAATTATATAATAATTATGTACATGTATTTAGATGAGGGTACAGGATAGCCTGATGGAAGCTTGCATTTCAACTTTCCAATGTTTTTGATCATGAGGATTTTGCAATCAAGATCAAGACAATTGTTCTTGATTTCAAACATTTTAAAGAAGTACAAATTATCATTGATTTATTTAGACAAAGATTTGAAAAGGAATTAAGCTTAATGAAAAATTGAAGGTAAAAAATATAATACTTTTAAAAATAAACTCGTAATGAAGAGCAGAGCATGCATGTTTATAAAACTGAGATCAGGTCACCGTTCAATCGGACGAGTTCAATTCTGGCCAATAGATAACATTAATATAAAGGATAGCTGTGTACATGAAGAACTAAACCTTGCACAGTCCAATGACTTGGACTATGAAGATCACCTGCTTTCGTCTACACACCTAGTATCACAATTATTTCCAAGTTACTCTCCAAAGTGTTAGTTCTGTGTGAAATCTGATTGGGTTGATCAATCGGGTTGTACTATTGCCTCAGACCTTAAGTCAATTTCTTGCACTTGTTGTGGGGGTCCTCCCCTTGCTTGGGTTCGAGTGTTTTGCACTTGAAAATTTTTCTTCTTTACAATGACTCGGTGCTGTGTACCCGAGTGTCTTGACGCTGCAAAGTTTATTGGGAAAAATAATAGAGAGCAGAGCGTCGTAAAGCTCTAGATTCAGCACCGCAACATTGTGGAGTGCTACAACACTGTTGGTTTGAGCGTCGCGGCATCATGTTGATATGACTTGAGTGCCACAACGCTGTGAGGCGGACTGGACAGTTTTTCTTTCTTATTTTTCTCAAGGGTGGAGTACCTTGGTGTTATTAGCTTTACTTTCTCTTTTGATTTGACTGTGAGAATAGTGTAAGAGAGAAGAAAAGAAAGGCAAGAGCAAGAGAGAAGAGAGATCTATACTTATTTCTCCCCTTTTTCATAAGTGTATTTCTTGGTGTGGTGTGGCTCCGTAGTGTTTTCTCGATTTTGGATTTTCCACGTTAAATCCTAGTGTCCTTTACTTTCGCTGCTTTTACTTTCTTGTTTATTCCATCACGTGATTTACTTCCATCGCCAACAATAAGAAATTTGAAGTACCACAACTTCTACTTTACAGAGAAGATACCGACCTGAAAGTATATCACCAAGTTTGAGGCTGTATTTACTTTATACTCTGTTGCAAAGGTTATTACGCACAAAGGTTTTCTTACTATTGACAGAGAAATCTTGTAGTGTCTTTCTAAGTTGCCACCTAAAGTGCTCAATAATTTCACTGATTTTAAAAAGCAGCTTTCGGTAAACTTTTAAGTCTAAGGAAAATAATCGCTCTTTTTGTTTAAAGCAAACTCAAGGCAAGTCACTCAGAGATTTTGTTAATCGTTCAACAAAGAGAAGATAAAAATATTTAATCCAAAATCCAAATGAGTAGATTGCAAAGATTACATTGATATAATAATTGAAGAAAGGAATGTTGGAGTTCAGTATAAATAGAAATCATTTCAAAACCATTATCCTCCTTTTGGTCAAGGCCCAAAAGGTATAAGAATAACGAGGAGCTGATGAAGATGGCTAAAAAGCTCTCCCATTCAATCGAGTCAACTTTGATCAAATTGAAGAACATAAGAAGTTTGAATCTCAGTTAAGGAGCAATGAAGATCAAAACAGAGCAACTCAAATATTAACTCTAACCCTGCCTCCAACCAACTCTTTAAAGTCTAACTTGTTTCAACTTAACTTGGAATAAATATTAATTTTGATAATGTAATACACATTTTATTTGAATCATGACTATCTGTTAATATTTGATAACTAGGTGCCTCATCAATATTTCTATTCATCACCTTTAATTATGTATTGTCTCAATAAATGAGCAGATAATCTAAAGTTGGACCTGAGAATCGAACATAGATCAAATTGAATTAACCACTTTGAATCCAATTTAATGAAGATCCAATTCAACATTAGTACTATTCCAAAAATGGTGAAACTAGGGGTGTCAATAAATAACTTGAAATGAACCAGCTTCAAAAACTTTGGGTTCGGATAGAACCAATTAATATTTGAATTGGATTCAGGTCTAAATTGTAGACCAAACAATTATTCGAGTTGGTTAAGGTTAATCTAAATAACTCAAAATAAACTTGAAATTGACCTGATTACTATTTGGGTTTGAGTTTAGAAAAGTTGGAAACACATTCTTAAAATAGATGTGTATTATTAGGTTAAATTGGGTCGTGTTGATCTAAAATACTGCATGATCCATATAATAAACAATTTAGAAAGATTAGTATTTGGGTTAGGTGGGTTCGGGTTGAGCTTGGGTTGGATCAAATATTTTGACCCTATAATAAATGGGTTGAACTTTGAGTAAAAAAGATTTGGGTTGAGTCAACATCAGATCAACCCAAAACTTGACCCACCAACTCAAACTAACATCCCTTAGTGAAACCGAATATATATTTATTATGGGTGTTAGTTTGGTCTAGAACTGAACCAACTTGAGTGCACACCTAATTTTGATGGTAAATTGCCTCTAGTTATGATTTTAGTGTCCTTGGTGGTGGAAGGCCACATCTCATATGAGAATGGGGAGGGGTATAGGTTTTGAGATATATTGACCTTTAAAAGGTTTTAATTTTGTGTCGAATTAAAATGCAAAATGATTATATTGTAATTAAATAGGAAATACGACACATACCTTTAATATCATCTACAGTGACAGCAGAAGGATGCAACATTACTCCAGCTTTAATTACACCAGATTTCGCTAGTTCAGCGACTACCTTAGCTGCAATATGAATAATTATTGATATCAGCTAATTCTAACTATCATTAGAATCAAGAGCAAAAAACTTTGAATAGATAAAAAAAATGTTTAATGAGAAAGTCCAGTGTAAGAGTTCAGTGTACATGCTGAAGCTAGGCTACTTAGGTGGATCTTTATGCTAAATTAGACAAATTCTGATCAGCTTCATCATTAAAATGAATGCAATTATAAGATAATCCCTAGAATCTGCACGAATGACTGAGTGAAGAGCACACTAATTCTCAAGTTTTATACCATAAAACTCTTTAGTCAACTATGCTACTTGAACAATTATTATCTCTTCTGGATTATTTAAAAGCTTTGCATTTTAACTGGTTATTTATATGATCCCAAGGCACAGAACCACCCAGGTGTCATAATGAGTGCTGCATGTACAATATTATGATCATTAGATCAGATTTATGATTTAGAGAAGAGCTTCACTCAAGAGCATCTTAAAAACCCCAGGGAGGATTGACCAAGATATAATCCATTTACATCTTTAGATTAAAAAAAAAAACATTCAAATATTCTAATAGGCGCATACCTCCCCAGCAAAATCCAGCAGCTCCAATTGCAGAAAAACCTTTGCTTTTCACGGCTTCAACAACAGGCTTTGCTTCCTCAAACCCTTTGTCCTACCGAAAAAAAAAACTGATTATTTTTATGCTTGACTTAAAAATATAGATGATTTTGTAAATATACATATAAAGAAACAAAAAACAAAGCACTGTTAGATCAGAAATTCAATGACAAGAAAGCAGTTTTACTTTGAAAGGTTTACCTGCGACCAAAAATTGAAGCCTTATAACCTATTAGCTCTAACACATGCTATTCAAGGTTTAATATATCTAGAGATCTATATGAAAATTGCAGTGCATTGCATATTTTAGGGGCATTTGATAATTCTTAGTACCTGCTTTGCACATGAAAGGTCACAAACCCTGCATCTGAGAGTTTAAGTAATGTCAATTATAAGCAAGGACTGCTGAATTAAAGTGGGCGACGGCGAGCTGCTTTCTTAAGCAGCTCATGGAACTGCTTCTATGATATGCTTGAAAAACTCTGCCTTTTGGCAGGTCAAAATATATAATTGCCCATACCTACAGGCTTTGCTTTTAAATTTAAAAGTTAAATTCTGAATACCAAATCATGCTGCTACGAAACGCCGGATACTCCGTATCTATTTGACAACTAGCCTTAATCGAAAGTTCTCTATCATTATCGGGAGGGCTAATTAACTATAGGGGCTTGCGCCTATAAGAAACCTGAACTCAGATCATAAATTCCTCGCAAAATGAGGGCGAAATCTCTGGGTAATGTCTTATCTAAAACCAAATCTACCTTCTAAAAATTTTCCTCGGAACTTAAACGTTAAGACTCTCCTCGACGACCCGAAAAAGAACGGGACCACGGAGAGGCCGGGGCGCGAATTTTCGGAGCCCACACTCATCATTGCGATAATGTTTTCTTTAAAAATTTATATATATATAACATCTTTCAAATTAAGTAATAGATCACTTATTAAATAGCAAAGCAGAAGGGCTAAATGGTCATAAATTATGATTTAAAAGGTTCAATTTGATCACCTACTTAATCAATTAGAATTAGGACATGCTATAAAAATTTGAAAATGTTTATAAATTCAAGTTAACTTGAAATCCTTATAACTTTAGATCACAAATGTGTTCTCGAACAATATTGTAGAAAGAATATCTAGCACTATGTAATTTTTGTAAAGCAATATATTTATCATTAGTTAAAATATCTAGGTTTGCAGCTTTGTATCCATGGTTGATTTTAAAAAAAAAAAAGGCGTTGCAGAGCGCTTCCGTTTAGATGTTTTGGAGGATCATTATCCATGTTTTTTTTTTGAAACAAGTGTTTTAGACTTTTGTAGTCAATAACACCATTTTTTGCAATAAAGATTTTGGAGTTTTGCAATCAATGATATTCGTCTTTAAAACAAGTATTGTGGAGTTTTGTGTAATCTTCTATTTTAATTTTTGCTTGACTGGCAATATTCTTTTACTAAGTATTTACCTTTCTTATTTAATAGGTTAACTTTTATTTTGATTTTTATATTTATTATATAATTTATTGAATAACAAAATAGAGTAACATAAACAATGTAATCTTAAATACACTTGCACTATCTAAATTACCCTCACATTTTAATTTTGGTGTTAACTTCAACTGTTATTTTTAACACATATCAAACTAATCAATTTTCAATAGTCAGAGAAATAAATTTTAGTAGTGCAAAATTCTGAGACTAAATTGGGCACTTCATAATAATTGAGGGACTATGTTAAGCTTTTTCTCTTTTTTAATATGTACATACTTAGCGGGTCATAGTATTAGTAAGTTTAAATTTATACATTGTTACAAAAATATAATAGTTCAATTGAAGCCAGGCTTGTGAACCATGTAGTCATATGAGAGATAGTAAGCGAATTAGCATAATTTAATATCTCCTTCGTTAGCCATGTTTTGTGCTAAAGCTTTGGAAATTAACATAAGAGCATACCATGTGCTTAATATTTATATTGGTGTACATTTTGCACATGTTATAGAGACAAGCCTTATGCACCTGTTGGACACCCAATTGAAGTGCTTTGAAATCCATGTGAACTTCAGGTTTCAAGGATGCTTTTACTTTGTTGTAAATTTTTAGAGATCGACCTAGAGGAATGAGAAGGCTCATTTGTAAAAAGGGACTCTCTTTTCTAAGTTAATGTTAGCACCCCTTTGAAATGCTTCAAGAGTCCTACAGGCTCCAATTAATCTTGCTTCAAGATCCTTGTTCATTTTTTGAGATTCGTGCTCATCTAAAAAGGTTTTAGATAACCATCGTTCATAAAAGTTGTTAAAATGATGATTAAATGATCTAGTGCCTAAGCTAATGCATAAGAAAACCAAAAGATTAGGAATGAAGGATTATAGTTCGTCAATAAAATTTGTGTTTAGAAACTGTTAATGACGCCAGTAAAGTAAACAGACCTTTGACCACAGGGTACAACACAAACAATGGATCAACACAATTAGAAAGTGTGTTAGCTTTAAAAAGGGTGAGGGTACCAAACAAACGTATAAAGAGTAGTAGCAAAATTAAGAGTGTGGAGGGATCAAAGTCAAAAGTATAAAGAGGAACCCTAGTCATCTCATTTCCTGTAACTTTTCAATATTAAATGTGTTGTTCTGTCTATGTTATGTGCATGTCCCTTGTCAATGTTCTGCTTGATAGATACTTGCATTGGTAAAGTGGAAAAAATTGGGACCATTGAAGAAATGTCAGGTGCTTCTCAACAAAAATAAAACTGGATAAACTATACAAGGACCTAAAAAATTTTACCTAGTTTCCTTCTCTTTAGTTCTAAAAGTAACAATATGTACAAATATATTTCTTGTGTAATCACTTCTTCAGTCGTTTAAATTGCTAGCGGCAACATCTTCCTACTACTAGTGCAGCTACCGTCCTTGAAAATTTCGTCAATTTAATGAGCTTTCTATCAACTTCTGCACTTCTTGCATACATGAATGCCTTGCTGGCCATGAAGTCTGTAATAGCTGGTGCCGGTTTGAACAAGTTGGTTCAAATAGCAGACTCGAGCAGCCTTAATTGAGCAGAAGCCAACTAGTAGGCAAGCGATCGAGCATGCGTAAGCGAACGATGGAATGAAAATGAATGAGTGTTGTGGTTCCGTCTCTTAACAAAGAAGCAAGGTGTGAAGAAGGGAGAGGATTAGAATAGGGATCAAGGTGTGTTCGCCCAAGAGATTCTATTCAACCAAGACAGAGGAAGAAAGGTCTGTGAAGCACATGCGCATCCTGTACAACACAAAAATAGATTGCGACTTTTTTCAATATAAAGGAAAAAGAAGAAGCGAGTGAGGCTTCTATTCGATAGAGGAAGAAGATGAAGAAAGTACGACTCTCGTTCAACTTATAGAAGAAAAAGAAGAAGAAAACAAGGGGTGTGATTTCATTTGATGGTGTTATCTCATTCTCATTCTCATTCGAGTTCGTTGGAGTTCGAGACTTCGAGAGTTCGAGTTCGAGAGTTCGAGAGAGAGAAGCCACACACTAGGGGAGTCAAAATGGGTCAATGCATCAGGTTCGGGTCCAACCCGATCTAACCCGGGTCCAAACGAGTGTAAAACCCATAAAATGCCGTTTTAGACCTTGCACGCTTTTCGATGCATCACGACGAGTTTTAAGTGAAAAATTCAAAGTTGTCGAAATTTGACGAAATTAATTTTATAAAATTCTACGCAAAATTCTAAGAAATTTGATATATAAAACTTATATTTAATTTTGCTCAAATTAAAAATTAAAAATTAAAAATTTGAAAAGTCTCATAATACCCAAAGTACCCCTAGTATTTATTAAGGCTTGGAGAGTTTAAGTGAGGGCAAAGGGTCTATTGCAAAATCCCTAAGTAACCGAAGCTTTAAGGGACCGAATTGTATTCGGTCCCTCACTTGATTCGTGCGGCCTAACGAGAGGCCGAAGGGAGAAGGGGCGGACGCAAGGCTCGGACGGCATCTTCGACGGCGGCTCCGGCGGCGATTTCCGTTGGCCGGACTTGGGGGAAATTGAAGAGGGAGATTCAAGGAGCACTAAGGTACATTTCTAAACCTAGAAATCCCTATCTTTCCCTTGGATTTTTTGAGATGAAAAAGTTAGCGTTTGGTAAAAACTTCTCTTTTTCTTTATGAGATGTGTAGGAAAGGTTTAGGAGATATTTTTATGCATAGAATGTGGTTTTTCTTTAGAAGTTTTGAGTTCGAGAAATTTAGGGTTTTTCCCCAAAGTTTAAATTTTTGAAAATGCTTTTATAAACTTGGTTCCTAAGGGTCCTAAGAAGGTTTCTAAAGGTATAAATTAGGCTTTTCTCACAAAATGGTATTTTCCTAATTTTTAAAATTAATTAATCCGAAAATTAGTTTTCCATAATGATTATTTTGATGAATGGGAGTTTTAGCATGCAAAATTAAGCATTTTAATGAAAATAGGTTTTCCAAAATTTGGGTTTTAGGTTAAATCCGAAAATATAACTTATTTTAAATTAATTAGGTTTAGGGTAAAGTGTTATTTTGGTTAAATTATGTAAGTAGACAAAATAAGGAAATTTTAGAATATATGTATGCTTCAAGTTTTAAATTAGAAAGAGAGAGAGGGAGAGAGAGAGAGAACCTAGGGTAGTTTAGAAAGAGAAGGAGAATTTTGTTTTAAATTTAGTTTGTAGATTTAAAATGAGAAATTGAGTCTTTTAGGTGTTTTGAAGAAACCTCGAAGGAAGAAGGGTTAGCAAAGAGAATCAATTTCAAGATTTCTGTAAGTATGCATGGTTCTTTAATTACAGTAACGTCTTTTGTTCCTTTCAAGTTATATGATTTGATAGACCAATCATGATATGCTGAATAGATGGAGCTCACCCCCTTATGGTACTAGCTGGGGATGATGTACTCGTGCACGTTAATATGGTAAAGAATATGAAAAAGAAAAATGGTAAAGGAGTACCTTTATGGTATTAGACGGTAGCTCCTGTGACGATCGTAATATATAAGAAAAGATAAAGTTATGAATAATGATATGTATATGAAAATGGATTATGAAATGATATGATTTTATGATTTATGTTTATGTTTAATGTTATGTTTATATGAGACAAATTATGTTATATTCAAATGAAATTGACATTTAGCATATTGTTCATTTTGTCTTAATTATTGTAGTTTAGAATCGTGTTTTACTTACTGAACTTCGGCTTAATGTTAGTTGTTAACATTTTTTCAGGTAAGTTTAAGTAAATCAAATGAGTAGAAGAGGTGGCAATATTTATCGTAGGAGAGGAGCTCCTGAGGAAAGGTAATATTATGAATATGTTTGAGTTTTATGTTTATGTGATTTAAAATTTTAATGTTATAGTGGCTCTTTCAAATATTTTGGAGATTGATTTAGATCATTGATAGTTTTAGGAATTAGATATTTGACCTACCGTCCGACCATCCGTTCCCGCCTCGCCTACGCGAGCTCACCGGGTCGGGTCGTGACAACGAGTCAATCCGAACCTGACACGGTTTTGCAAACATGTAAGTTATCTCAACCCAGACCCGACTCGTGTGCGTTGTCGGGTTGACCCGACACAACCCAGCAATGATGAACCCAAATGGATTGTGCAGGTAAGGGCGGGCTAGCGAACTATAGTGCAGGCCGTGCGTCTGTGCCGGCGGGGTCTGGACTATGGGCAGGCGGATCAGATCGTTGAGACTGAAGAGGTAGGGCCGCCTGAGACGGCTCCTCTAGCAGACAAAAATAGCTAGAGAAAAGAAGAGAAGCAAAGCAACGAGTGTTGCAAATCTGTTTTTTTTTTTCAGGAAATATGATTGTAATGATAGCAAACACTTCTGTCATGATTTAAAATTGCGCAATATGAGGCTCGCCTTTGCGCAATTCCAGTAAAAAACGCCTCGATGCTTACGCCTCTAGTTTTTTTTTATGAGGCTTGCGCCTCAACTTGGTTGAGCCCTGCCTCGCCTCACGCTATATATATTAAAACTTACATAAATATTGAAGTAAATGCCCGACATTGGACTCTATAGAAGAGGAGGAAGGAGAGAGAGCAGTTCATCATAATGATGATTCAAATGAAAAACCCCTTAGTGATGACAGTGCTAATGACTTATGAGTTCTTATGTGATATGTGATTGCTATTTATTTTTGAAAATTGGAATTATATGTTAATGAAAAGAATACTGGGATTTGGGAAAGATAGAATTTTGAGTTGAACTATATTTCATGTTATCTTATTATTGAGATATTTTGAATTTACTTCATATTTTATGCTTTTTTATGTTTTATATTATTCACTCATTTGTATATAAAAAATTTATCATTTTATGTTTACGCAATCTTTTGATTTTGAGGCTTACGCCTCAAAACGCCTTGAGGCTTACGCCTCACCTCACGAATGAAAAACGCCTAAATACCCAAATACGCAATTTTAAACATTGACTTTTGTTTCTCTACGACTGCCTTGCCTATTAACATTTCAGGTCCATAAGATCAAACTGCAATTTGAACCAGCTCAAAATTGGATAGACTAGGTCTGAGTCAGTTTGTAAACTTTTCTCTTTCTTGAGTCTATTGTAAATGATTTGGTTCTTGATGCTAAGTAACCTTGCACACACACACTTAGGGGAATTTTTTTTACTGTTTTTAGAGTTCTCTATTTTTGCTCACATCGTCCGGGATGATCTACAAATCGGCCTGGACGATCCGTTAAAAACAGAAATTCTAATTAGGGCATCCTGGTTAAGGCATCTGTCATTAAGCACATCGTCCTAGACGATATTTGTATCGGCCGGGATGATAGGCTCAAATCAGAAAGAATCAGCCACCATATCTATTTAGGTATTGTTTCTTTTTGGACATCGTCCTGGACGATGCAACACAATTATGCCTAAATTAGTCTGGTAATTAAGGAAAGCAATTAAGGTTTGATTGCTCGATCATATCGTCCTGGAATATCGCAGGATCGTCCGGGACGATCAGTTCAAAAAACCTTAGTTGTTCCTGGACGATCAACATCAGCCACCTTCTATTCAGGGCGATGCTTTGTATGATTTTCACGGATTTGAACTAATCGTCCGGGACTATCGTGAGATCGACCTGGACGATATTCAATAATTTGTAATAATCGTATAGGACGATATTCTATCGGCTTGGACAATATGAACAAAAACCTTCTAATCGTCCCAAATTATCCTGGCTGATTGAGCTTAATTTGCACTGATCGTACAAGACGATATTTATATCGTCATGGATGATAAAGTTGGTTTGTTGCAATTAAGAGCTATTCCAAAGTTCTTCTATTTAAGAATTCTTGTTCCTTTGAAGAGAGTGTCTTTTGCTGTTGTTCTGACTTGAGAGAGCCAAGAGGAGAGGGAGAGCAAGGGAGAGAGAGAGGATCTTGTGAGGGAGAGTTTGTGAGGGGTTTCACAAAGGTTGCTTCGAGCAAGGATTCGTCGTCGTCTTCTCCAGTTGTCGTCCTTAGTTCCTTGGGAGTTCTAGAGAGGTCTACTTCAGCATCTGATCAAGGTTCTCTGCCTGCTTCAGGAGGAAGCAAAATGAGTTGGGTTCTCTGCCTGCTTCAGGAGGAAGCAAAAGGAGTTGGGTTCTCTGCCTCACCGAGATTGGTGGAAAGGAGGTTTGTAAGGGCTTCTCTGCCTAACTGTGGGGGCTAAAGGAGAGACACTGAGTTTAGTGCAATATTCGGAGGGCTCCTCCCGGGAGTGAACGTAGGTCGGGTTGACCGAACCACTATAAATTTTTGTGTTCTTTATTACTGCTTCCGCATTTAATTTTCTCACTTTGATTTCTGTGGAGAATCTTGGTTTTTATTTTAAGATTATGTTTTGATCGAAAGATTTTTTAAAATACTAATTCACCCCCCTATTGGTTAGCCTTGGGACTAGTTTATAAGGGCTTAACATCCCTGTCGAACTTTCATGTGCCATCAGAGAACTTTCAAGTGCCATCAGAGCACTTTCAATGAGGACACCCCGCAGGAGCCCACAACGATGGCGAGTTTATGCGTCTTCATTTCTCCTGCAACAAGAAACTAAAACCAATAATATTGGTAAAACATAGCAATAACATACAATCTTCCTAAAGTTTAGATAGGGAAAGAACGATAGAAGAGCAAAAAGAAGACTGTAGGATGTCCGATGAGCTGGGGGACTTTTGAGAGGGATAAAGGAAAAGCTCCGGTTAAGCTGTTGTTGTTGAGTCTCCTGTGGGATGAGCAAAGAAAGATACAAAGTTAAATTTTGATTAAAGTAGAACAAAGCCCAATGGTCTAGTTCTATGTTTGTCTCCTTGCTTCTTACCTTTTCGAGGATTAAAGAAAAAAAGAATGATGAGGGATTGCTCATAGATAGTGAAGGGTTGTAAGGAAACCGAAAGAATCCAGTATGCTTCCGGAGAAGCGGTTGTTTGAGAGGACCATGGTCGAAGCTTTGGACGATCGGACGTAACGACGACGACGGGAGCTTGCTCGCTGTGAAGGTGCTAATCCGGGATTGAGTTCGGGTTTCTGAGTCAATCTTGACTTGACCCGATTTTATAAACGGGTCGGGAAACGAAACCCGAACCCGACCCATATGGTAAATGGGTTTACCCGAACCTGGAATTTTCTGGGTCGGGTTAATTTTTGACACCCCTACCACACACCTTTGATGTTGTCTTTAAACACAATCAACACACACTTCTGACGTTGTCCTCAACGTCGTTTGGCACATTTGACGCTACAATTCGACACTTACTACTCTTGCAACATTATTTTTAACCTTTATAAATTTCCTATGAAATTGAATCAAAATTTCTAAGTGAATAAGAGAAATAAAAGCAACAGAAGAGATATCCCTTCTCCTTTACAAGTAAAGTAAGAGCTACACCCAAACTTAATCATTTTAATTATTGTTAAATCAATCAAAAAATTAAATGTAAATTCTAATTCTGAATTAAAAAGTGAATTGATATGAATGTGTACACAATGCATAGGTTGTGACTAAATTGACTAAGGATAACCAACATTGGTGAATAAAGAGAATTGATAATCTAAAAGGAATTGAGACAAATGATTACATTTCTATTTTATGACAGTTATAATTTTTCTAAGATTTAATGAATTGATTTAACAATATCTTCTTCTAGCGAGCTCTAGGTCAGGACTTCTTGGCCACTATCGTTGAGGGTTTGGGATTTCAGGTTATAGCGGCTTTAGATGCAGATGAGGGCAAGAGAGAAACCTAAAGAAAAAGGGGCGCAAGAGGGGGGTTGACGTCTAGTTTGAGAGGAGATGAGGGCGACGTACAAGGGGTATGGGATTGGAGAGGGATGAAGAGGGGAGAAATTTTTTTTTTTATTTTTTACTTTTTTAATAATAATAATAATAATAATAATATCAATCAATATTATTTTTTTAGTTTCGTAAAAATTTCACCGCTAGAGAAAATCAAAGTCACATTATCAATGTCATCACCTTGTGTGCAAGCAAATTATCTAATTTTCGTCATGTGGTAACCTGGGCAAATATAGGTATTCATTCAAGTTATTTTTGTCCTCCCAAACACGTCGACAAAATTTGTTTAGTGAACTGATGTTGTTCGGACAACTTCAACCTTTAGTCCGCATGTTTAAAACCCCGCTCTCACGATCTCATGTCTTTCACTCACTATTTGTGTATTTGGTTAGTTCAACTTTTTATTTATCTATTTATTTTATTTTATTTTATTTTAACCTTAGAAAAGTAGTTGAGGTCAGTTACACCTTAGAATGGTGAATGAGGTCAACATAGGTTTTTTTTTCTAATCCAAGAAAAAATGGCAAAAACAAATATAATGTAAATAGATAAATAAAATAAAATATTGCTAATAAGTAACAAAAAAATGCAAGTATGTTAAAAGGACATGGAAAATATTCATAAAGCTTAGGAACTAGTGTGTGAATCTTATATATGTTGCAAAAACTGCCAATAGATGGAAACAATATACTCCACAAAATATGACAAAAAAAGCATACCGTGCCATGATTTCCAAGCCAGGTTTTTACAGGAATAGTATCTGGAACATAAGGATCCTCATGGAAGAAATCAGGAACCACTACATAGAATCCTGCAGCAGCAGTTTTATCTGCAAGCTTCCTTCGAATGGACAAATAAATCTCTAGTTAACGAGTGGGATAAAATAAAATAAATAAAAGTTAAAAACTCTGAAGTAATGGAAGAGAAGATGCTCCTTGCCTAGCAAGTCCACAACTATATTACCATATTAAGAATTTATTTTTTAGAAAATTTAAAATGCATGGAAAATCATTCTAAAATATAATGCCCAAGAGGTTTAGCCCTCTAATATAAATTTTCTCCCTAATCTAGCATCTAATAAAAATATAACTATCCTAACTTGCAATGTAAGAAATTGTTTAAGAATTTCCATTCATTTCTCAAAAATGTCACTGTCAGCCACAAGACCAAGAACTTTCTGCCATAGAACTTCATGATACAGCATGTTGAGCCTAGTATACTAACACTAGAGCCTTTACCCATGTGATTGCTTTTTTAAGTAATATTTTGCTTCAAAATCATATTTTTGTTTGGATCAAATTGAGTTGAAATGTATCCCAAATATTTGGACATGTTTCTCTTAAAGATATTCTTGAAGTTTCTTCCACCAAAAGTCATATTAAATTGAAAAGTTTTCATTCGAATTATCAGCATTCCGTCAAAACAATAATTAAGCGAGCAGGATTCCAACACTACTACAGTTCTAGACTCTTGTATTTGACCATTCCTACTTCAAAGTCATACTAAGAGCTATGCAAAGGTATCTACGCCATCCATATCCTAGGTTGCCAAAGTTACTGGGAGATTATCTTGTAATTGAAGGTTCAATTATAAATAGGGGTGTAAGTGAGTCAAGCCGACTCTTGAACCGGCTCAAGCTAGACTCAATAAATGGCTTATGAGTCGAGCTCGATGAGATAACAAATCAAGCTTGAGCCAGTCCAGCTCGATTCGTTAGCTTGCAATCTAGCTCATCTAATATATATATATATATATATATATCATTATAAAGTGATTTTTTATTATTTTTCTTCTAATTGCTCATTCTTTTTATCACTTTATTATAATAATTGCTTGATTCATAATCATTTTATCTCTTTCATAATAAATAAGTCGGCTTGTGAGCCGGATTGATCTTGTAGAATAAAGCTTGAGCTCGAGCTCAAATTTGTTTAATTAATCAAGCTCAATTAGGAGTGACTCGAGCTCAGCTTGACTCGTTTGCACCCCTAGTTACAAATATAAGTTGGACTCCCCGTAACGCTTGCAAGTTAAGCAAGCTAGTAATGAAAATTGAGAAAGTCAAGCTATAACAACGAAATTGATTTTGACTAGCATCTTGATGTTTAGATCTCTTGTTCCTACAGCCATATAGAAAACATAACATATTTTAGGGACTTCCACATCAATGTTGAACATGTCGACTCGTACATAATACAATAATATATTAGACGCTCCATTTGATTTATCAATTAAATAAATAAAAAATACAGTTTTATGGAAATATTTTGGAAGACCTTAACAGATGTTGACCTTTATATACATGTCATATTCAATCGAGTGCACCATCGGAGGCAGCTAATGGACAGGTCACATGTAAATGTTGAAGCACCTTGCTCACTGCTAAAAAATCTCTCAAACTTCATCCGATTGCAAAATGAACCACATTGATGCGCTCATAACACTAAATTTGACAAAGAAGAGTCGTTCGTGGGAAACTCAATTGGAAATGATGACAAACATGATTTGTTGGTGGGCGCGATGCTAGCAAAAACTACTCAAATGACTTCTGATTGTCAAGCAGATTGTGCTGATGCGATTAGAGCATCAAATTTACCCTAAAAGGGGACCCCTCGCGGTTGAATTGAGTGAAGGCGCGAAATCGACAGTCTACAGACGCGACAATGCACGACATTGCCCAAACATCATCCGTTTGCAAAAAGTATTTCATCGTTGCATTCTGAACATCAAAATTATCTAGAAAAGGATATAATATTGCCCACAATGCAAAAAGATGAAATTAGCACGAATTTCAAGGTGATACTGCATGAAACTGTCCAAATAACATTCCGATCACGAAGTGGACTTCACCGTTGCCCTCAGAATATCAAAATTAACCAAGGAATAACCGATTACGATTGATTTGAGTGAAGATGATCGAAATTGATGGACTATGGACAAAACATTGTGCAACGTTGCTCGAACACCGTCCGCTAGCTAAACGAATTTCACCGTTGTGTTGGAACGTCGAAAATACCTAAAAATTACAATAATATTGCATGGGTCCTTGCACGAGCAAAAATGTAAAACCAGCATGAATTTGAAGGCAACAACGCACAAATCGAGATTTACAAAACACAAGGAAATCTTGGGGGCCAATTTACTTTTTTTATCTCTAATTAAATTTATACTTTAAAATAAAATTTTAAACTTAATATATGTTATCCCTGCTATCTTGCCCGAAATCCCGGTCAAATCTCCATAGTGCAGTTGCTCAAATCCCTGAATTTCAGCAGTTCGGCGTCGAATTCAATTGCCCATCCTCGCGTGCACAATTCCTCGCCATTTCATGCACACGGCCCGCTTACTTTCCTCATTCTTGCGCTCCTCTCCTTTCGCTCACACAGCCGCTCTCTGCTCTCTCCTCTGGTCTCTCCCTCTCATTCGCATTCCTCTCCAACTGAACTCCCCGACCTCCCTCATAGCCCGTCTCTCGCCTCTGCCTCGATCCCACAGCCAGCTTCCCTACCCGAGCAAATCCCCATCACACCTTGATGTGAAACTACCAGGAGTTAGCAAGAAAATTAATAAGAAAGTTGTTAAAAGTTTACCGTTATAAAATTATGCTTCAAGACAAAAGGAAGTTTTAAGGATTCATAGTTTTCCACTTTCTTAGGCAAAGAAACACATGTAGATTAACCAAGACACTCTTAGTCAAATACAAAGGCAATAGAAACACTAATAGCTTGTAACATAAATCCGAAATTTAATAATGAGATATTCACCTTGAAGGTTCTCTCACTCTACGGCTCTAGGGCTTAGCGGATGAAGACCTTCCAAACTAGACTTGAAATCACCACTAGGAAGAAAGAACATAGGAGCTTTGTTGTGGGGAAGGTAGCCGGCGGTGGAGGATGCACAGATCTTCCGACGAGGAGCTAAGGTGTTCTGGGTCGTTGGAGCTCGATCGTCTCGGCGAGGCAATAAACGATGCGGTTAACTTAGCGTTCCACCGAGTCGTTGTACTCCCAATCTGGTTCGTAGAAAGCATATCAGAAGATATCTCTCTCTCATTGGGCGTTGTAAACAAAGCCATGGTCGATCCCAGGATCAACCATACATACTTGCTTTGAGAGGGGACGAGGAGAATTGAGGTGGTAAGGAGAGGAGGGGTGGCGGTTAGGGGGAGAGAGGATCGGCCATGAGAGAGGAAAGAGGAGAGGGTTCGGGTAAGAGAGGGCGGATGGGGGCTTAGCAAGGGTTAGGTTGGGTGGGGAAATCTAAAATTAATTTTAGATTTTGGAATTAATTAGTGGGAGGGAAATTTGAATTTGAATTCCAAATCCAAAATTAAGTAGTGTTAATGTGAGGAGAGAAGAAAAAGGAAAGGGGATCAATAGGGGGGCCGGTGGCATGCATAGAGGAAGAGGGGTTTGGGGAGGGAAATTAATGCTCCTTAATGCATTAACTCAATTTAGGAAAAAGGTGAATAAATCCAATCTAATTTAATATTAAATTAGATTCAAATTTTGAAAACTTTTCTAATTTAGCGTAGTCAATTTAGGAAGGTTTTTGAAATTCAAAATTTGAATTTCAAAAGGATGAAATCTCTTCCCAAAATTAAGTGGAATGAATTAGGAAAGTCTTAATGGGGATTGAAATCAACATTAAGGGAAAAGAGCCGGGGGTGGCCGACGGTGGGGGTTGGGGAATTTGGCTTGGTCGAAGTTTGGAGCAAGGGGAGGGGAAAACCGGTGGTTGATGGGAGAGGGGAAGCCGGCGGCACAAGGGTGAGGTGGGTTGGGGATCGATTTTTGGAGGAGGTAAAGGGGATAGGGTTTTGGGAGGCCGGCGGGTAAGGGCTAGGAGAGGAGGTGGAAGTAGAGAAAAAAAAAAAGATTGGGGCGGCGAACCTTGGAATCCTCCGAAGGTTGACGGGTATTGCTTTCACCCACCTAGGATTTCTCCTCTCAAGAACTCACTTAAAGATCAAGTAAGAAATCTGAAATTTCATTCATAAATCATCATCCGATACAATAGAGGATGTCATAATATATAGACCTAAGGAAATAAAAATACAATGACTCAAATGCCCCTGGGGCTACAATTCAAGCATACTCAAAAGAAAGGGTACAACTGTAAATAGCAATTAATACATAAAACATCAAAATAAAGACTAAGCATCAAAATAAAGGTTGTGGATCGTAGCCATCGATCGGCGACTCTTGCACTGATATACTCATCGAAAACATCTGTCGATGTTCTCATCACACATGCTCTTCCTCTTCCCTTGCCGTGAAAGCCAGCCCACAAAGGCCCATAATAGCCTTTCTGCACCATTGCATCTGCTTCCCCATCTCCTTTCTCAAACAGACATCCAACCCCCACTCTACCGTGCTCATTATTGTCCACAAACAGCAAATCCAACAGCAGCAGCCGACCTCTCTTCATTCCCAGCTCCTCTCATGTGAAATCCCAACAAATCCACCTTCACGTCGAACTCTGGCAGCCTCCTCATATCTCTTCCAACTCACGACCTTCCAACCAAACTCCCACAGCCTTGCCACCACCTAACCACCACAGCAGCCTCCACCTAGCCCGTCATCCACAACAAATCCCACACGTGAACACCAGTAAACCTGCTATTGCCTTGCTCCACTACTAAAAAATCCCTAGCATCATACAACGAGTAGACCGCACTCTCCATCCCTCTTTTGTCTTACGTTACAGCTGTCCAAATCAACTCCACCTCCCAAGAAACCTAGCAGCTCCCACTCTACCCAACCTCCAGTCAATAGAAACTTCATCTTCACCTTACTGTTACCTCTCAAGGCTCCTTCCAACAAGCAGTCCGTGAACCT